TCCCTCCCGGTTGCCCCCAGCGCATTTTTTTTTTTTTTTTTAACAAAACAAAACTGCCCCTTCTATTCTGGGGGGCATCAGTCCGGTTGCTTATCACCGGCAAGCCTGAAAACCAAAGTACAGTTTGATTGTAAGAGAAGAGGAAAGCCTTACCCTTGCGGCCCTAGGCGCCTATCAAGGGGGGGACTGCTACAACCAAACCCACTTCCCATACCATAGCCTCCGCAGGGATACTTCTGTTGGTCGGGAAGCTTCCTAGCAGCACCCAGTCACGCAACAGATGGGTCCCCAGGGAAGGCCTTGGCCCGGGGGGGCTGTTCTAGCAATCTCACAGGCCTCTCATCCTGTCAATCCCTCCCTCTATACACCCATATAGGTCGTCTAATCCTCTTCTTATTCTTGCAACAATCACCCGCATATCAATCTCCTTCTCTATTCAACGCTCTTTTTTGCACCCACCACCGAATGCCTCTTACACTCACCCTCATATCAATCTCCTTTTCTATTCAACGCTCTTTTTTGCACCTACCACCGGATGCCTCCTATATCCTTAAGTCTCATCTACTTCTTAACCCTATCTCCTTCGTCTTTAGTATCTCCGGCACTGGTCAAGCTTTCCAATCCTCAGATATTGACCTGGACATTATTTACCCGCCCTCTGGTTCAAAACCCGATCTAAGGCCCGTAGGCCTCCCTTATTGAGGCTTATTCCACCTTGAGAAAACCTTGCTGAACACCTAAAGCCAGTAGGCCACCCTTATTCTAACATGTTTGAGTCTTGTCCCCAGCAGTCTATTCAACGCTCCAATACAGTCCGTATCCATTCCTCCTAAAGCCACTAGGCCACCCTTATTCTAACATGTTTGAGTCTTGTCCCCAGCAGTATATTCAACGCTCCAATACAGCCCGTATCCATTCCTCTTCCTTCCCTTTTTTCATTTATCCCAGTTTTAGCTCCCCCTCCCATTTCCCCCTTTACCCCTTACCATCTACCTAGCTCCCTCTACCCCAGTGTCCTCCCATTCCCCTTACAGCCTACCTACCCAAGCCCCGATCTATTCTATCGACTGACTGCTGCTTGTGTCCTTATTCTCCAGTCCAAGCGTATAGTGTTGCAAGACTGGTCCGAACTGCAACTGCCATGTACTACGGTCCTGCGACAGCATCTGCGGGAACGGGGTCTATCTCTGCCAAAAGCCTGCCACCTTTGCTTCCCCTATGCATCTACTTCGATGCAGATCCGCCAATATAGCAATGCGAATATTCTCCAGTGCCCTCTCTTGATAGGCCCGAAGTGGCGGAGATGTTCCTTGCCTACATCTTTCATTCATAATGTCCACAGGGCCCATAACGCAGCTGCCCTTACAATCTCTTCCACCACCATTTCTGCCATGCTCTGTCTATTTGCCTTAACCAGGGTACCCAGAAGGATATCTGCATGGGTCGTTTCATCCACCTGTAGCGGTGTCTTATCTGCCATTTCCTGCGCCCACCACTCCCAAAACACCTTCACCCTTGGACATCGAACAAAGAGGTGGGGGACCGTTTCGACCTGGCCGCAATCTGCAGCACAAGTTTGGTCCTTATGACAACTTTTGGTAGCCTGCCACTGCGCAGTCGGGATTGGCAGATGGTAAATCTGCCATAGCAGGCCCGCCTGCTTCTGGTCTGGCAAGGCCACCATGATGTTGCATTGTTCATTCCACCTTCGCTGAGTCCATTTAGTAAGACGCATGCCCGGGAGCCACTCTCGTTTAGCCCACCTCTC